TTTATATCTCACAATTCTGACTTTATATCTCACAATTCTGACTTTATATCTCGCAACTCTGACTTTATATCTCACAATTCTGACTTTATATCTCACAATTATTGACTTTATATCTCGCAACTCTGACTTTATATCTCGCAATTATTGACTTTATATCTCGCAACTCTGACTTTATATCTCACAATTCTGACTTTATATCTCACAATTCTGACTTTATATCTCGCAACTCTGACTTTATATCTCGCAATTATTGACTTTATATCTCGCAACTCTGACTTTATATCTCGCAACTCTGACTTTACATCACGCAATTCTGATTTTATATCTCACAATTCTGACTTTATATCACGCAATTCTGACTTTATACAGTATCTCGCAATTTTGACTTTATATCACGCAACTCTTGACTTTATATCACGCAATTCTGACTTTATATCTCGCAATTCTGATTTTATATCACGCAATTCTGACTTTATATTTCCCAATTCTGACTTTATATCACGCAACTCTGACTTTATATCTCACAACTCTGACTTTATATCTCGCAACTCTGACTTTATATCTCGCAACTCTGACTTTATATCTCGCAACTCTGACTTTATATCTCGCAACTCTGACTTTATATCTCACAATTCTGACTTTATATCACGCAACTCTGACTTTATATCTCGCAATTCTGACTATATCTCGCAACTCTGACTTTATATCTCGCAACTCTGACTTTATATCTCGCAACTCTGACTTTATATCTCGCAACTCTGACTTTATATCTCACAATTCTGACTTTATATCTCACAATTCTGACTTTATATCTCGCAACTCTGACTTTATATCTCGCAATTATTGACTTTATATCTCGCAACTCTGACTTTATATCTCGCAACTCTGACTTTATATCTCACAACTCTGACTTTATATCTCACAATTCTGATTTTATATCTCGCAATTCTGACTTTATATCTCGCAATTCTGACTTTATATCTCGCAACTCTGACTTTATATCTCGCAATTCTGGCTTTATATCTCACAATTTTTGACTTTATATCTCGCAATTCTGACTTTATATCACGCAATTCTGACTTTATACAGTATCTCGCAATTTTGACTTTATATCACGCAACTCTTGACTTTATATCACGCAATTCTGACTTTATATCTCGCAATGCTGACTTTATATCACGCAATTCTGACTTTATATTTCCCAATTCTGACTTTATATCACGCAATTCTGACTTTATATCTCGCAATTCTGACTTTATATCTCGCAACTCTGACTTTATATCTCGCAACTCTGACTTTATATCTCGCAACTTTGACTTTATATCACGCAACTCTGACTTTATATCTCACAATTCTGACTTTATATCTCACAATTCTGATTTTATATCTTGCAACTCTGACTTTATATCTCTCAACTCTGACTTTATATCTCGCAACTCTGACTTTATATCTCGCAACTCTGACTTTATATCTCACAATTCTGACTTTATATCTCGCAACTCTGACTTTATATCACGCAACTCTGACTATATCTCGCAACTCTTACTTTATATCTCGCAATTCTGACTTTATATCTCGCATATAATTCACAATAATTTTTAGCTTTTAAATAACTTTTTTTCTTATTCAGTGGTGGAAATAAGCCTCCATACGTAACAGCCGTAATGACTTATCACGCAAGAAAAAAATAGTCGCATAACATCGGTTCATGAAGCGCCATCATTTTGCAATAGTTTTTTTATCGACATTTAGAAAATATAGCATCAGTTTTGTGCAAATCTGTCATGGAAACGCGGCTACTGTGTTTTACACTCCCTCCCTGAGCACCTCCACCTTCCCTTACTCGTGGGTTTAACCGCTATCCTTCAGCAGGGATTCGAAAGGCCATTTCTAATAGGTTTTTTGATATTTCAACTAAAATTTGAAGAAATAACTGCTATAGATTTCATTGTCAGAAAAAACAAGGAAAGTGTGATACCCAGCACACGTGTTTCTAATCCCTGTCTGATTTCTCACTCACTGCACTATTGGCTGATATTCACTGTTGTTTTATACCTTTTCTTTCCTGAAACCGCTTGACTTTGTCATTTATGACCAATAAATGCTTGTTATGTTTTCTGCTGGCATTTAAAATGAATGAATCTTTGTAACTTGTGGTGTTTTTAAATGCTGCGCTGCATGCTCTCCCTCCCCATGGCTGTTCTGTCCCGTTTCGATGAAAGCCGAGAAGCAGTGCACTCTGGGAAATTTTCACACATGAAAATTTGAATATCCTTTTGTATGTCTGTGACATGACTGATCTTCTTTTGTTTGTTCACACAATGATCAAATTATACACCAGTATTTGTATTCATAATGATTCCATCAGCTTCATGGCCTGAGGAAAGTCACGCCACCTGCTGTTGATTTGTGTGAATGACATGTTGATGATCTTTCTCACACAATGGCAATGTTCACAATGGAACACAAGCATACTGCATATATCAACTATGCAAAAAACATTTACATATTGTTGACATAAGGCACGTTTAATCCAGAAAGTGGCCTATAGTTATCATGTAGAACAATAAACTCATTTTGTGAAAAAAAAAGTTACATTTTGTCAGTCTGATCAAATAATCAGCCAATAAAAAGACAATATTACATACAATTCATTTATTTACGGTGGAAATATAGTACTGTTGTATATTGCACATCACTATTGCATGCATACACAACATGCTTCACAAGTATGCTAGTATGCTAGTTGCTGTTGTGAACATGGCCGCTCCCTCTTCCTCTGTCATTCAAGCGTTTGCTCTGTTCTGATGTTTCCTGCCTATTTCTTCTCATTGACCTTTGGTTCAGCTACTTTTTATGAACCACGTAGACTTTCTAACAATGTATTTTGTGCACTAGTGTCAATAAAGTTACAGTTGGCCTTTTAAGACTCAGGATTTGTTTTTTTAAGCTTGTGATTTGTCATAACCCCTCACACCCCTCCTGCTGTCTGTGGCTGCACAACGCATGTCTCGCTATCTGTCAGCACACGTGTGTGTATCACATGCATTAGTTCACGTTTTGTGTACGTATGGTGCAGTATGCATTGTTTGTGTGGTTTACTTGGAAGAGTTTGTGTTTGGACATGTTCCTTTTTATTAGAAATCAAAAGTATGAAATAACAGGAATGGAAATGTGCTTATTATGTAGTGATCAAACCGTGAAACAAATCAAAACGCTCTTCTTTGATTCCGGCTCTGTTCATTTACTCAGCTAAATAACTTTGTTAAAGGACTTCACGTGTATACTGGGGCTTTTCCTTCACCATCGTCCCTAAGTGCACTTATAGATAATATAATACTGATTAAATAAGAAGTGCACTTACTGGGAGACACTATTATGACAGTTTCTTGATTATTATATTTAAAGTTCATATATTTAAAATGTACAAAATCATTTAAAAACAAATATATTTAAAAACATGACATTAACGTTTCAATAGAAATTATATTTTATTGTACATTTCATAGACGATAGAAGTAAATATGACATATTACATATACATATATTTACTTAAATCCTACTCTAAAGTTCAGCTAATTGCAATTAATAATTATTTAAACTATATCATATTTGCATTTAACATGCGATTAAGTGTCCGAAAACATTACATTCAGTTCGCAGTTCGCACTTGAGTATATTTGGTAACACTTCATTTACTCGTTATGTAGTTACTGTATAATAACAATAAATGATCCATAATTGCATGAAACTGAAATCCTAACCCATAGTAAGTACAGTAGTTAATGAATAGCCTATTACTCAGTACTTTAATGTGTCGTTACACTGTAACAGGGACTCGTTAAAGTATAGTAAGTACTAGTTTTTAAAGTACGTTTTCAGGAGTGGGGTCCAACTCGTCTTCAAGCGTTTAGTTAGAGAGCTTTAAGCTTACGAGAAACGTGTCCAGGAGTTTGATTGGTAGTGTGTGTGTGTGTGTGTGTGTGTGTGTGTGTGTGTGTGTGTGTGTGTCAGGCTTCACTCATCATGACTGCTGTCCTCTAAGGAAACACACAAGGCGGATTTGGGCAAGTACTGAGAAACACCTCCTGTAGGCGTAGAGTTTAGTGGGAAGTGCACTTCTAGACGGACCATCAACACTCAATTTATTTAGTTTTATTTTTTTTTATTTTTTTTATATTGGTAATATTTTACCAATTTAGACTTAAACTATAACCTTTACCAAGAGTACCATGACCGTATCATTGTACAACAATTTTGATAATTATGATTATGTAGTGTGTACTCCAAAGAATAATGTCCCTGATGGTTCACTCTGGGTCATTTTAACCCAATTTTGGGTCAAATATGGATAAACCCAGCTGTTGGGTTAAATGTATAAATTTTCTTTTTTAATCTAGCAGTTGAGTTTGTCCATATTTGACCCAAAATTGGGTTAAAACAACCCATTTGCAACCCAAAACAACCCAATTGTTTTGAGTGTACACTCTACACTTTAAAAATTGCTGGGTTGTTTTAACCCAACTTTGGGTCAAATATGGACAAACCCAGCCATTGGGTTACATTTTTTTTCATTACATTTTCAACCCAACGTTTGAGTTTGTCCATATTTGACCTGAAGTTGGGTTAATACAACCCAGCATTTTTAGAGTGTAAGCAATGCTGGGTTGTTTGAACCCAAATTTGGGTCAAATATGGACAAACCCAATTGTTGGGTTAAAATTGAATTTAAAAATTAAACCCAACTTCAACTTTCACTTAACTGTACATTTTTTAATTACACTTTTAACCCAACATTTGGGTTTGTCCACATTTGACCCAAATTTGGATTGAAACAACCCAGCATGTTTTAGAGTGCTCATATCTTAAAAACTAAACATGGTAAAATCACGGTACTTTTTGTGCTTTTTTGTTAATGATGCATATTTGCATGCTAAAATAAGTGATAAGTAACGATCTTCGTGTGTGTGTGTGTGTGTGTGTGTGTGTGTCATCCTCAGACGAGGTGTGTGCCTCGCTCACATTAGTTAATGGTCTGGCTGAAGACTGTCGAGGAGCGACGCCGTCTCCTCTCATCTCCCCTATGCTGAACGACACGGGTGCCATGCGCACTGATGAAGAGGATGACACCAGGAGGAAGGTCAGATCTGTGTGTCACTCAGTCTACACTCAAGAAATGTGGTGACGTTCACTTTGAAATTAATTTTTGATATGTTTTATCTTACCTCAAGGTCATCCAAGATGTAGGTGTCTTTGTTTCCACAGCATTTTCAATTTTGATATTTTTAGGTCCAACCGTTCTTGTCTGTCACTCATATAATGGAGGTCTATGGTCACCACCTCAAAGAGCATTCACAGAGAAGTCCAAATTAAACATGATTTAATGACTCGTAAATGTAAGTACACATTGATGGCCTAAGACACGAAACGAGCGGTTTGTGTGAGAAAACCAACAGTATTATATCGTTTTACCTCGTGTAATCACAGTGATCTGAATCAGTTGTTCAATGTCCAACTGAACCGAACTGAATCAGTTCAATGTTACGCCGGAAGTGATCGCTTGCGTGTGACGTCACTCAATATTTAAACGGAGATTTCGGAAGTTTTACCTTTTACTAAACATATTTAGATATACAGGAATCGTCTTCCATTGCGGTTTCCTGTATATCTAAATATGTTTAGTGAAAGGTAAAACTTCCGAAATCTCTGTATAAACAAAGAGTGACGTCGGCGCGCAAGCGATCACTTCCAGACCGAAGCGCCCGTGCCGTCAGATCATTTTGTCATGGCTATGATTACAAGAGGTAAAAACGATATAAATACTGTTGGTTTTCTCACACAAACCGCTCGTTTCGTGTCTTAGGCCATCAGTGTGTACTTACATTTACGAGTCATTAAATCATGTTTCATTTGGACTTCTCTGTGCATGATCTTTGAGGTGGTGACCATAGACCTCCATTATATGTGACCGACAAGAACGGTTTGACTGAAAAATATCAAAATTGAAACTACTGTGGAAACAAAGACACCTACATCTTGGATGCCCTTGAGGTAAGATAAAACATATCAAAAAGTAATTTCAAAGTGAACTATCCCGTTAACTGTTTACTGTATTTTTGATCTAATATGCTACTCAAACATCTCCAGGACTCAACTGTAGTGATAGTGAAGGTCATTCTCCTGCGGTGAGTTATTCTTGGGTGTGTGTGTGTGCAGATCTGTCCCACTGATAAGGCGTACTTCATTGCTAAAGAGTTGCTGAGCACTGAGAGGACGTTCCTGAAGGACCTGGAGCTGATCACTGCGGTAAATGATGGACAGATCTTCACACACACACTTCATTAGAGACCGTGGATCAGGTCTGGATGTGTGTGTGCGTGTATGTGTTAGTCATTTCAGGAAGTGTTGGAGAAAGAGGACTGTGTTCCTGACACCCTGAAGACACTGTTGAGCTCCACCTATGAGCCGCTACTTTCCCACCACACACACTTCCTCCAGGAGCTCGAGGAGAGACTGTCACTGTGGTGAGAAACACACACACCGTTTATTTTATTTATTAGCATGGAGTCTATAATGATCGCCCCCTGCTGGTCAAACCACACCATTAAGTAAGGATTAATGAAATGAAACGGATGAAACTGAACAGCGGGTCATCGTTTACTCGCCGTCCTCGTTCTGAACGCTTCATCTCCTCTGTTAATCACAGAACAGGATATTCTGAATGTGTGTGTGATGTGTTTTAGGGAAGGCCGCTGCAATATGCAGGTTAAAGAAGATGTCGGAGACCTGCTGCTGAAGACCATCCAGCACCTGAAGGTGTGTGTGTGTGTGTGTTGAGCAGATGCTCTGTTATATTATCAGTGCTGTTAGCGACGGTGTTGTGTGTGTGTTCAGCCTCTCTCAGCTCAGCTGCAGAAGTGCTCAGAGTGTGTGTACGCTCTGGAGAGAGTGTGTGCTGTGTCCCGGCGGCTGGAGGTCGTGTGCCGTGAGTTTGAGATGCAGAAGGTGTGTTACATTCCTTTAAACGTGTTTCTGCTGAGTCCTCTACATCGCCTGCTGCACTACAGACAGATCCTCGACAGACTCTGCAAACACCACCCGCCAACACACACCGACTACAGCCACTGCAGAGGTGACAGACTGCGTGTGTGTGTGTGTGTGTTCTCTGAGGACAAGTGCTTATTTTAAAATGGGAAGAGTTTGAAAAACAGTAAAAGTACTGTACATTTTAAGGTTTTTTTTTAATATAAATTTGAGGAATATGTCATATGAATTCAAATGAACTTAACATAAATGTTTTTTTTTTTTAAATAATAAACATTTAAGTAAAGAAAGATATATTTAAAGGTATAATATGCATTTACTTATATTAGGTTATTACAGCATTTAAAGAGCACAGACCTGCGCAAAGGAGGTGCATGTGAAACGCCCTGTAAGAAATACTTTCCTTTTCAGGAAAAGTATCGAAAAAGTATCGAAATCGCGATTCTTGACTTGGTATCGGTATCGAAACAATAATTTTGGTATCGTGACAACACTAGTCCAGGGGGTTGGCCCAACGGAAGAGCTCCCACTGTAAACCTCAGGTCTCCCAAAGTGTTAACCTGACCCGCTGGCTCCACTATGAGAAGCGGCGGTGGGCTGGCTAACAGCAGAGGCACGACCGCAATGCCAACTTGAACATGGTCTTGTGGCCCGAGCATGTGAGACAGCGACCATGTCACAACCTCTCGGCTTCCGAACAAAATATGAATGAAGGTAGTAATGCCGGTCATATTTATGCCTGTATGTATGACTCGCCATGCAAATCTCTCTTTGGCTCGTTTACTTACGACTTGAAGGTGATTGTGATCACTGACCCCAAAGCGTCAGTATCAACGTAATGTCGAACGTGACTGTCTGAATGGGAATGTAATTTATTCCTGTGATAATAATTGTGATAATAGTAATTTATTCCTTATTCCTCATTACTCCAGTCTTCAGGGTCACATGATCCTTCAGAAATCACTCTAATATGATGATTTGATGATCAAGAAACACTTATGAATCATATCAGTGTTGAAAACAGTTCATATTTCTGTGGAAATGAACTTAAAAGAATATATTCACTTGGATGAATATAGAATTTATTTGAAATATAGGTAACACTTTACAATACATGTGCACTAATAAGCATTAATTCATGCTTAACTAATGCACAGATAATACTGAATTAATGTGTAACTAATGATTATTTAAGCTATTCATTCATGATTACCACATTAGCAACCAATTAAGAGCCTGTAAGGTTAATATATTACATAGTTCATTCATTACTTGTTTTTAATTAAATATGTAATTGTGGATTAATTCCATAATAACTCATTTTTTTTTAACTAATAGTGTTAATTAATATGTTAATTACCAGAATGAGCCAAAGCCTTGTATTTCAACTTCCAGATAATATGACAGGTAAACTAATATGCATTAATACATGATTAATTACTTCATTGTTAGTGCAAATTCATGTGCAAATGACTACAATTACTAAATGACTAGTTAATAATGATGTGCCCCAACCAGTAAAGTCATAACATAATGATGATACCTTTGCAAATCATTAGCTAATGATTAATTAAAGCAGGCAACTGGAAGTTGAAGTGCATAGCTTTGACTAATTGTGGTAATTAACACATTCATTTACACTATTAGTTAAGAAAATATGTTATTAAGGAATTAATACACAATGACACATTGAATTAATAGCAATTCATCTATTACTTAATCTATTAATCATGTAGACTCTTTATTAGTTGCTGATGCAGTAATCATTAATTAATGGTTTAGTTCTTCATTAGTTATACATTAAAGAGTTAGTTCACCCAAAAATGAAAATTCTGTCAGTATTTACTCACCCTGATGTTGTTCCAAGCCTCTATGTGTTTATTTGTTCTGCTGAACACAAAGGAAGATATTTGGAAGAATGTTTTAATCAAACAGATCATTACATTAAAAATACATACATTAGCATTAGTTAAGGTTAGCGAAGTGTTACCGAAATATAAATAATTAGTCACATTATAATTCATCATTTTTGATCAACTTAATGAATCCTAACGGAATAAAAATATTAAATTCTTTCAAATAATTAACCCAGACTTCTGAATGTTGGTGTGTTTATTTGTGTGCACATAATGTATGTGTTTGTGTGTGTCCTAGCTGCATTGGACGATGTGTGTGAATTGGAGGCTGTGCTTCATCCTGGTCTGGTGGAGATCGAGAACTATCAGAAAATCCTGGAACTCCAGAAGGATGTGATTGGTGCTGAGCATCTGGCCACGGCGGGACGCCAGCTCATCAGATTGGGCTGCCTCAGCAAACTCTCTGGGAAAGGCCTTCAACAGCGCATGTTCTTCCTGGTGAGATTTCACAATTATCACACACACACACACACACACACACACACACACATCTATGTTTATATGAGAGCGACTTCCCTTTGTTTATTCATTCGTAAAATAAACAAAATAAACACAAAACGAAAGCAAAAGCGACAGCCCCTCATGGACACAAACAAAACATAACAAAATAGTCCAGGCCTGGGCCTCTCTCATCCTTCACTGTCTCGCTCCTCCTTTTATGCTTCCTGGCGCAGATGCCAGTAAATTGACTAGCACAACCCTTAGTAAATCACCTGATTCCCACCTTGCGTGATTAAATAATCTCCTCCCAATTTTACTTCTGAAAGGGAACTCCTACAAATGCATATGTAATAAGGTCAGCTTCAAAAAAAAAAACCTGTCCACGCCTTTCCAGCGCTCATTTCTCACTAGCTGCGTTTCCATCGACACGTTTTTATCTGAATTAAGTGATATCGAATGAAAAATGCCTAATGGAAACAGTAAAATTCGATGAAATTTCATGAATGTAATACGTTCGGTCTCATCGGATTTTATCTTCGATATACGGCTAATGCGATAAAAGCTGATGGAAACGTTATTTGCCGAATAAATAATGAATTGCGATTAAGTTTTAGGCCCTTTTATGGTTGCAACACGCCAGAAGATGAGTTCATTTCTCGTTTTTAAATCAATAAACTCGTTTTTAAGTCAATATTTTGAGTCAAATTATTGATTTATTGATTTATTTGGTTGATTTATATGTAATAAGCAGGATAATATATAGCGAGGCAGTTTTTATAGCAATTACAACCCCTTCAACAACCGCCTCGCATACATTATCCCGTACATATGTCGCTATCAGCTGGCACTTAAGCATTATTAGGCTTCAACTTGTGAAATATTGATCATTTGTTGGTAGATGGCGCGAGTTTTGTCTAACAAAACTTTGTTCGCAAAAGTTTGCTTGAATGTTGTTCGATTCAGTGCGAAAATAAATGGAAACACCTTAAAATGTCTCAAATCAATACGATATACCAATTTGATCGCAAAACAGCATGTGACGTCATTACGCACAGGTTTTTATTCGCTTTAAAGCCGTTGGATGGAAACACACATTTTTAACCGAACTTCAGATAATTCGATTGACAAGTGGATGGAAACATGGCTACTGTGTGTCTTTAGTAAATCCTGACAGTAGTTTTGGTGCAAGCTGACAAAACGAACACCACCTAACACTAAACTCTACTTATGAAAATATTTCTGATTAACTCTTCCTTCTCTTTCTATGTGGAGCCAGTTCAGTGATGTCCTGATGTACAGCACTCGAGGAATAACTTCAACCAATCAGTTTACAGTGCAAAGACAACTCCCTCTACACGGCATGACAGTAAGAAGCTCATCAGTCTTTCTTTGTGCTGATGTTATTGATTGGCATGATGATCCAGCCGTGAGAAACCGACTGTGTGTGTGTGTGTGTGTGTTTGCTGTGTTCAGATCCGGGAGAGTGAGGATGAGTGGGGCGTCCCGCACTCCTTCACACTGACGGTACAGCAGCAGTCACTGGTGGTCGCCGCATGGTAATGCTGAACATGGCATCTGAGGACTGCTTTGCTATTCTTGTTCTCCATTATGTTGTGTTATTTCCATTCCTTTTATTCAGTCGCGTTTTCCTTTATGCTGGGGTGCATTAAAGGAGTAGTTCACTTTTGAAAAAACTTTTGCTGATAATTTACTCACCCCCATGTCATCCAAGATGTCCATGTCTTTCTTTCTTCAGTCGAAAAGAAATTAAAGTTTTTTATGAAAACATTCCAGGATTTTTCTCCATATAATGGACTTCAATGGGGTCCAAACGGTTCAAGGTCCAAAAGACAGTTCAAAGGGCTTTAAACGATTCCAGACGATGAATGAGGGTCTTATCAAGCGAAACGATCGCTCGTTTTATAAATAAATAACAAAGTTTACGTTTTATAAGCTCAAACGCTCGCCTTTCTCTGTTCTGTAACGCACTCCTGTTCGAACTCGTTCATCAAAATGAACAAATCTTTTTACGAGTCATTTGGTTCATTCGGCGAAAGAAACGAACGAATTGATTCGGAAAAAGATTTGTTCATTTTGTTGAACGAGTTCGAACAGGAGAGTCACGAACGCGCATCACAGAACAGAGCAAGGCGAGCATTTGATCTTATAAAACTTCAACTTTGTTATTTTTAAAAAAAATGAGTGATTGTTTCGCTTGATAAGACCCTTATTCATCGTCTGGAATCATTTAAAGCCCTTTGAACAGTTTGCAGTTTGCACTGAAACTCTCATTTGGACCTTGAACCGTTTGGTTCCCATTGAAGTCCGTTATATGGAGAAAAATGCTGGAATGTTTCCGTCAAAAACCTTAATTGTTTTTTCGACTGAAGAAAGAAAGACATGGACATCTTGGATGACATGGGGGCGAGTAAATTATCAGCAAGTTTTTTTTTAAAGTGAACTACTCCTTTAAAGACTTTTAAGTTATTAATTATATCATTTGAGTATATTCATACATGAGCACAAATTTAAATGCCTGTGTATTGACTAATGACCTAGTGACATTTGTGTTTGGGGTCGGGGGCCGTAATGTAGCCCAGGGGCCTCTGGTTATCTACAGGTGCTCATGTCCCTCCGGGGTTCCCATACACTCTTCCTTGACACGCTGAAAGACGAAGCGTGACAATTGTACAAGCTTGTTAGACAGTCGTTCCAAACACCAATTTTGTGATGGTGTTAACAAATGTTGGGTGAAACTATGGTTTTGGGAAATGCAGAACCGCTGATAACGACTGAACGTGCGATCATAGCTAACAGTGCACCCCAGGACAGTCGTAGTAATCGGATCTCATCTGTGCTCAATGTTTACACATGTATAACTGATCGGTCCAGCAGTTTCTTCAGTAGATGCGGTCCATATTTGATGGATGAATAAAAAAACAATGAGGTTTCTTGTGTCTTGTAGTTCAGAGTCTGAAATGGAGAAATGGATGGAGGATTTGAAGATGGCGGTGGACATGGCTGAAGAGGCCAACGCATCGACCTCTGACCTGCAGACTCCCAGCAAAGATCTCAGTAAGTCACATATAATCCTGGACGTTTCTAACAAGATTGAACTGCCATGACCCTAAATATATATATATATATACAGTATATATATATATATATATATATATATATATATATATATTATGACTAATTTTCTTGGGGTAAAATCAAGTCCATTCTCATTGAATATCCTATTTCACTTTGAAATATGTCACATTATGAAAGAACAATTCATATTTTTGTATGGTCAAGTTCAAGTACATTATAGGATACTTTTAAAAAGAGTATTTATTATGCCAATAACATACTTTAAAATAATATAATTAGGTGTGAACTGAATGTAATGTTCATTTGCATGTTAACTGCAATCAAGGGAAAATGTATTATAGTTTAAATTTATATTACATGAAATTAGTAGAGCTTTAGAGAGTTTTTAACCCACTGAAGTAGGACATAAATATATCTTTATTCAGCATGTAATTTCATAATGACTTCTATTGTCTTTGAAATATGGTTAAAGTAACTTCTGAATGTACTGACAAGCCTTTATGATCAACTAAAATATACTTTAATGTCATTTCTATTGACACTGGTTTGTCATGTATTTAAATATATTTGTAATCACACATTTGTACTGATAAAGTTGCATTTTACTACATATAATATTGAAAATCAAGTACTTTCAATGCGCTTTAGTATTTTATTCAACACATCAAAATAGGTTAACTTCTTTAAAGCATGACAAAAAAATGATAATGAATGTTTTTAATTATTAGTTTACCTTATTACAAAGTCTACTTTATAAGTGTGTCAAAAAACAGTCTTTAATTGCACTTAAAGGATTTGTTAACTTTAAAAAAAAAAAAAAAAACTTTGCTGATAATTTACTTTTTTAATTTTTCAGTCGAAAAGAAATTAAGCTTTTTGATTAAAACATTCCAGGATTTTCTCCATATAATGGACTTCAATGGGGTCCAAAAGACAGTTTCATTGCAGCTTCAAAGGGCTTTAAACGATTCCAGACGATGAATAAGGGTCTTATCAAGCGAAACGATCACTCATTTAATAAAAAAAAAAATGGGAAAAGTTTAAGTTTTATAAGCTCAAATGCTCACCTTGTGATGCGCGTTCGTGACTCTCCTGTTCAAACTCGTTAATCAAAATGAACGAATCTTTTTCCAAGTAATTTGGTTAATTTCGTTTGTTGAATCCACCAAATTACTCGAAAAAAGATTCGAACACGAGTTTGAACAGGAGAGTCACGAGCATTTGTGCTTATAAAGCTTAAACTTTGTTATTTATTTATTAAATGAGTGATCGTTTCGCTTGATAAGACCCTTATTCATCGTCTGGTGTCGTTTAAAGCCCTTTGAACTGTTAAACTCTCATTTGAACCTTGAACCGTTTGGTTCCCATTGAAGTCCATTATATGGAGAAAATCCTGGAATGTTTTCATCAAAAACCTTAATTTCTTTTCGACTGAAGAAAGAAAGACATGGACATCTTGGATGACATGGGGGTGAGGAAATTATCAGCAAAAGTTTTTTTAAAAGTGAACTTCTCCTTTAAGTGACCTCTTATTTCATTAATATTATTTTATCTGTCGGGACAGTTTGTCACGTGTTAGTGTGTTTTACTAATGCCTCGATTGAATGCCAGAATCATGAATCTCAGGATATAGTTGTGTGTTTTTCCCAGAATCCTCGGCTGCGTCTGAAGGGGAGTCGGAGGAGGATCTCTGTGGGTCTCGACACGGCGCCGGTTCACCTAACACTCTTCATCGCGGGAACACCACGGCTCACGTGTGCTGGCATCGCAACACCAGCGTTTCCATGCTGGACTTCAGCATAGCCACAGAGGTACCAGTCCTACATCTGCACCATCACCAGTGTGACCATCATCATCCTCATCATCTTCACTGTGTCCTCACAGAACAAGCTCTCGGGAAATCTGCTCAGAAAGTTCAAGAACAGCAACGGCTGGCAGAAACTCTGGGTGGTGTTCACCAATTTCACGCTTTTCTTCTACAAAACACACGAGGTAAAGCGTCCACACACTCGTGCTGTGACCGTGTCGATCTGTGTGAGAGACTCACGCTCTCTTCTTCTCTCCGGCAGGACGAGTTCCCGCTGGCCAGCCTGCCGCTGTTGGGTTACACAATAACCCATGCTGGAGAGTCAGAAAACATCCATAAAGATCACGTCTTCAAACTGCACTTCAAATCTCACGTTTATTACTTCAGAACCGAGAGTCAATACTTTTTCGACAGGTACAGAAAAATTCATTATTTTACAGAGTAAACTTGAATATGTTACTGATAAGTCTAGTAGTTTGGTAACACTTTACTTGAAGGGTTGTGAATATAAAGGAGGTTTTATGCATGTTTGTGACTTGACTGTCACTTAAAGGAGTAGTTCACTTTAAAAAAAACTTTTGCTGATAATTTACTCACCCCCGTGTCATCCAAGATGTCCATGTCTTTCTTTCTTCAGTCGAAAAGAAATTAAGGTTTTTGATGAAAACATTCTCCATATAATGGACTTCAATGGGAACCAAATGGCTCAAGGTCCAAATGAGAGTTTCAGTGCAAACTGTTCAAAGGGCTTTAAACGATTCCAGACGATGAATAAGGGTCTTATCAAGCGAAACGATCGCTCATTTAAAAAAAAATAATAAAGTAATAAATAACTCCTGTTCGAACTCGAAAATGAACAAATCTTTTTTCGTGTCATTTGGTTCATTCAACGAATTCAACGAATGAAATGAGTTGACTCGGGAAAAGATTCGTTCATTTTGATGAACGAGTTCGAACAGGAGTCACACAGAACAGAGCAAGGCGACCATTTGTGCTTATAAAACTTAAACTTTGTTATTTATTTATTAAATGAGCGATCGTTTCGCTTGATAAGACCCTTATTCATCGTCTGGAATCACTTAAAGCCCTTTGAACAGTTTGCACTGAAACTGTCTTTTGGACCTTGAACCATTTGGTTCCCATTGTAGTCCATTATATGGAGAAAATCCTGGAATGTTTTCATCAAAAACCTTAATTTCTTTTCGACTGAAGAAAGAAAGACATGGACATCTTGGATGACATGGGGGCGAGTAAATCATCAGCAAAAGTTTTTTTTAAAAGTGAACTACTCCTTTAATGTTTATACTTCCTTGTTCCTTGTGTAAATATGCATTTAAGTACGAGTAGTATGAAAGTTACTGAAATGTCACCAGAGCAGATCCCTGTAGCGCCACCAACTGTCCACAGTTGCACTCACATTTATGCTAGTATCTTTAGAACCATAAAAGCTAGGAAGAAAAAACGTAATTTTCCGTCATGAAAAAAAAAAAAAAAAAAAAAAACTTTTTTGATCTCCTCAGCAGTCGCTCCAATTTTCAACACAGTTTAACCAGATCATATTCACAACAAGTTGTGGAATTCAAGTTGAATCGTCGAACCGTTCTCGATTAACGTGACGAAGAGCACACCAACATGAACGTGAGGCTCTATCTCCGCAACGCTTTAGCGAAGTCTGACCAAACTTGGTGTGTTTTGACAACCATGACCTAAGGCGACCTGCACAGTTTCGGCACAGTGCCACCCGGTGGTCAGGAGATATATATATATATAAAAAAGCTCTTATTGCTTATAACTTCTGAACCGTTTGGCCAAAAACGCTTTCGATTCGGTGAAGCATGTCGAGTCGAACAATAGCCAATTTTCCCATATCGGCCATTTTGGGCGTCGGCCATTTTGTCATGCATTTGTCAACCTAAATCCTGTCAGACAGTGAGATTTTCATCTCTGTGCAGATGGATGACGGTGATCAGAAGTGCTACAGTCTCTGCCAGCAGAACCCGCTATCTGAACCGGACTGAACCGGACTAAACCGGACTGAACCGGACAGATCCTGCCGTCTGAACTCCACAGAAACTGCCATCTGACCTGGACAGAACACAACACACACCAACAGACCCATGCAGACATATATATATATATATATATATATCAGTGTGTGTGTGTGTGCTTTATGACCACGTCACTTATGTGACTGACTTTTGTTTTTTTAATGACATAATATGACTTTAAAGGGGAATGTCACCACTCACTTAACTTCAGATATCAGCCTCAGGCGAGTGTTATAATCTGTGTGTCTAAAAGATTCTTACATCACTGAAATTAACAGTTTTATTATACACTCTTAAAAATAATACAAATATTTTTTAAATGAACCAGAAATGATTCCATAAATGAACCAATCAATGATCAGTTCTAAAAAGAACCATTTTTTTCTTTGTGTGAAGAACATTTAAAAAATCTATATATAGTTCCACAGATGTTCTTAACGGAACCTTCAATTCCAGAATAGAACCTTTATTTTTAAGAGTGTAGAACAGAACGGCTCATGGAGGAGTTTGCACTTTGGATAAAAGATTCCTGCAAATCTTTGGCGAGATTCTCACAAAAACTGCGTTATGGATTTTGTTAAACGGCATTGAACGTTCCAAGGTGCTACGCTCATGATAGTGTGTTTGATTATGTGTATTAGCACACACTGTTGACACACTGAAGTCATTATCTCCAGAAAGTGAAAGTCAGAGTGTTAATAAAGGCTCAGATGAAGAGAGGTGGAATTCCCCTTTAAACACACACACCTTTCCTCATTCACACAGAGGTGCTTTTGCGTTTTGTCTTCTAGTGTATAAACACACACACACACACACAAGCATTATCTGCATTTTTTTTTGTACTGGGCTTTTACAGGATCTCATTTTGTAAGCGCTGTTTAATTGTGAAGCCGTAAGTGTCACTTGATGCCTCTAAAAGCAGGCGGATCCATTTCAGTGCCATGTTTTTATAGCACAACTTTCTATGTTTCTATGTTTTCGACTTTGTTTCTATGTTGGGGTCCAGAAGCCAATGTGCCAAAACCATTTTGGGTGTTTCTGTTTGTTTCCATGTTGGATTGAAGGGTCAATAATGAAAAGGCATCTGGGATATAGAGGAAAGGGATACAGTACATGAACCGTACAGTGTACATTTCTTTGCTGAGTTTATATTATAGAGCTAAAGTGCCATAACGCATGGAAATGGTTTTTCGCTACAGCATTTATGTTGATCATCATGTAGCATTTGATAATGAAGAGAGGATATTTTATTATTCAAATCTGTGGGAAGATTGACACCACTCATTTTTAAAATATAATTTTTAACACATTAAAAAAAACATTCACCTTAGACACAATGAGCCACAGCTGTATATTACAGGATAGTTTAGTCCATCAAAGAAGTAAAGCTTTAAAACCGGCAGATCGTTTCATAAGGCCCACACACAGCTCAAAGGAGAGAGAGAGAGAGAGAGAGAGAGAGAGAGAGAGAGAGAGAGAGAGAGTTTATTGGAAGTGAAAGCAATAAAACCTCATTTCAGAAACAGCTGGACTTGTTATTTCTGCAAGTGTTTCTTCATCCTGCATTTTTTTTTTACATTTTTTTAAAATTAAAGTCAAATCACGGATTTCATCATAAAATAAGAATCAGATATCACATATCCTCAAACAAGTTAACAAGTAAAACAAATAAAAATAAAAGGAACAACAGCAACATGAGATATCATTATTTTAATAATATTATTAATAATAATAACATGCAATGGTAAAGAGAGAGAGATAAGTGAAATATTTTTCTTCATTTTTCCCATTGACACATAACATTGGGGACATCATCACAATATAAAGAATTCCTCCATAAAGTTCGACAAAATTTCATTCTTTTTTATTTTTAATTAACTTTAATGACCGCTTCAACGACTGCATCTATGCATTTTGCAACATATTTTTTTGTTTATGGATGTGATATTTCACCACATATTCAAACAATTAGCTTCTGTATGTGTGTAAGAACAAATAAGATATTTTAGAGATAATTTATAATTCACCTTTCTTGGGGCAAAAAGAAAACAAATCCCAGTTGTCAGCCGGCATTTCACTGGTCAGCAGAGGGCAGTGTTGCATCATTAGTGACGTCACTCCGCCAATCACAGATCACATAGGCATAAACACACACACACACATATATATGCCAGAATATACACTGATGGATGATATTTGGTAAATATGGATGATTCTTCAATAACTAAGGTTCTGTTTGGTTCAAATGGAAATTAGAGAACATCTCTGTCGGATACATACATTTATAAATATTCACAAATTAACATAATTTATTATCGTTTTCTCTTTATTTGGAAGCTGTTTTAAAAGACACCATGAAACCACTCAAAAACCCATTTAGTAAATATTAATTCAGAAACAATTTTTTTCTCTCTCTCTCTCCAAAAATGTCAAATAGCCTATCAAAATAGCCTAATACACAATTAGCCTATGTCAAATTATATATTTTTAAAGTAATAATACATAAATGAATGCTTTAGATGTATATAAAATTAAAACATTCATGTTAAAATAATTTAATATTGTTGTTCTCAGTACTTGATGGCTGTTTTAAAATACCATTATCAAATTTAGTTCAATTTCATTTACATGTGCTCTCCAAATGTCATTTAATCATACAAAATTTGTTATTATTATTATTATTATGTATTATTTAGCCTAAATTTTCAATTATTTTATAGGTTATTTAAAAAAAAAATGTATTGTGTGTGTGTACGTGTGTGTGTGTGCGCGTGTGTGTGTGTGTGTGTGTGTGTGTGTGTGTGTGTGTACATGCGTGTGTGTGGGCGCGTTTGCGTTTGTGTGCGTGAATGTGTTTTTGTGCTTATTTTGTTTATTTTATGTATTGTCTATTTTTTTATTTGTATCTAAAGTTTGACCGACAAACGGTATTCAGTCAGAGTTGCAGTCGTGGTGTTGTTGGAGAGGATTTCCTTCTGTTCTCTCTCCTCTAATGAGATTTCACCATAGGGATTTCACACACAGGTTTCGCCTCCCGTTGAGATTCACCACACACACACACACACTGACTGGAGACTGTGCTCGTCTGACCAGTGAAAGTCAGGGCAGGACTTGCTCGGAATACCCTCTCACTTCGAGCTAGCGAGCGCGAATGAACGATTCATTTCCTACTATGACGAACACTCATGAATATTAATGTATCACGGGTTATTTATTTATTTATTTTTAAATTGTTTTTAAAAAATTGCAACTACAATCAAACTTGTACATTGAGTAAACAAACAAACAAACAAAAAACAAAACGAAAAAGACAAAGAAACAGTGACAAACTTAAAAGGTAAATAAAAATGTGAAAATGTTTTAAAAAGTAAACAAATGTTGCAGCTTTCTTATTTTATAAACACAACATTGTGTTTAATATTGTTGAGTTTCTGATCTTAAAATGAAAAACAAATGTCTATTTCCTCCAAACTGACTAAATTTAGCTTAAAGAAGTAGCAGATTAAGTAGCTAATATTACTTATAATAAGATTTGCCATGGGAACTAAAATAAACAAACAAATAACAGATTTTTAAAGCACAGTTGAAAGGTGGGCATGATGTGAGTGAGCCTTAATAAATGAAGGAACAGAAATCTGACCAATAACAAACTAAATTGAGGAAAACTCCAAAACAAATGATAAAATGTTTCATAAATTGGACCACAAAATGTATCAATATCACAATTAAATCTTTTCGCCAAGGCTAAACGTTCATGAATAATATATAAAGTCGAAATGACGTTTTCGGCTTCGCTCATGAATATTAAGCAGCGAGACTACGTCACAGAACAACTCGTAAATGCGCGGAGGGAGCTCTGTCTCGACGGTGTATGTGTGTGCGTGTGTATTAAACCTCCTCCCACAAAAACACACAGGCACGAGAGCATGACAGCACGGGAAAGCGCTTCATTTACACGGCAGGAACTTCCAGGAGACGTTAAACCTCCGGGAATACGGAGTAAAGGATATCTAATCGCGGTCATCTGAACATGAGAGTTAACGGTTACAGCTGAGCGAGGGGGTTTAAATCTCGGGCACTCGCGCGCCTGTAGAAAACGGACTTTTAATGGTTTTTAATTGACTTCTTCAACAGTCCTCTGGAAGTTAATGAGAGTTTGTAGTGCAGGATGTCGATGCCGGCTCCCACGGAGACTCGCAGGTTCACCCGCGGGCTCAGTAAGCCGGGCACGGCGGCCGAGCTGCGGCAGAGCGTGTCGGAGGCGGTGCGGTCCTCGGTGCTGCTGGTGAGTAGATGACTGTCACACACTGAAAGTGGACTTTTTGTACTGTCTGTGGCGTTGTGGTTACACACTGAAAGTGCTGTCAGAAGACGGTTGTGGGTTTGAATCAGACTGTAAAGGGCTGAGCCTGTAACCACTGAAACTTTGGGTAACACAGTTTGAATCTCGGTGATTTGATGTCATGTCACGTGCACAGTGTCCCACTGCACTGAAGAACACCTCATGTGGAGAATCAGTTGCTAATAAGTTAATATATAGGCACGACTACACTTTTTTGGAGAAAGATTTGGATCGATAAGAGTTTTAATGTGTTTTTTAAATAAGTCTCTTTTGCCCATCAAGGATTTATTCGATTAAATAAACAAGAAGAAGAAGGAAAAAAAACAGTGATATTGCGAAATATTATTACAATTTAAAACAGCTGTTTTATACGGTGGCCGAGAGAGCTCACCGCGCTGCAACCTGATGAAGACGAATGCAAATAGAAAAACGCGTGCAAATACAAAAAAACATCCGCAAATTAAGAAAAACATCTTCATCAGTTCCACAACACACGTGTGCTCCAAGTACTCACAACACCACCAAATACAGAAACGCGCTGCAAATAACACGGTCCACAACGGAAATGTTTCCGGGGAACCAAATAAGTGACGGACCCAACTGGGACTTGCTTATTGCTCGTGAGCTTCCCTATGCCCTACTCCCTTCAAAGGGCAGACGGCAAAGCTTTTCAAGTGGGAATTTGGCGTGAGCATGACACCTAGTATGTCATTTATGTAGCCGCTTGGAACTTGATGAAGGGAGCAACAACAGACGTAACGTTAATTATTTTTACCTAGGATGTTCCTATGACAACACAGCACTTTGTCCATCAGCTGTATAGCTGTTCTGACGACAGAAATATAATGATTAACATAACGGTTGCAAATAAATTATTTATTTTTTATTTTTACTTTATAAAAATCTGTTAAAATATCCGTTTTATATACCTGTACGTCAGTGCCATACATTACCTAACATTTTTAGGAAACTTTTCTTATGAAAATTTAAACATAAAATGAAACTATTTGTATAGTGTAACTGATGTATAGATTAATATCTTGCCTTCATGTTCTTCTAGATCTTTTTTTATTTATTTAGTTTAGTTTTCAGATCATTGTTCTTTTCTCATTTGTATTGTGATGACATTGAACATATTGTTAACACATGTTGTATATTGTACACAAGTTGTATGTCATAATAATTTGAATCTCGGTGTTTTGCGGGGGGAAAAGTCAAAAGAAGTTAAATAAAACAAAAGCTGTGTCTGAAATCGCTCCCTATCCACTAAATAGTGCACTATATCGGGTGTCGGCCATTTTGTAGTGGTGTCCGAATTCTGAGTGAACGACATCATTCCCTACATTCATTCACTACTTTTACCCACAATCCTCTCTGAATTCTAGTGTACATTTCTATTTCCCACAATCCAATGCGGAGAGAACTGAGCGCGCATGTAAGTTCGGCGCGAGCAAGTTTAAACCAGAGATTACATTACATCCAGTGGAGGATTTGAAAAATATCCGTTAATCGTCGGTTTGAACATAATAACGGTCGCCGGAGGGCGCTCGACGACACGTCATCTGTGAACGTGAGAGTTAATGTACAATTTCAGTCGATGAAACTACAAAGCTGGCACGGAGGTATAATTACAAAATAAAGTCATTATGATTGTTATTGTTGTTAATATTATTTTATAAAGTAGGTAATGTAAGATAAAAGGAGTTTTATCAGTACGCGTGACGAAGCCTTTTCTGCGACAGCTCCAACTCTCCGACGCACAGTGTATGTAAACGTCAGCGTCCGAATTCACTCACTTCATCTCGTTCACTCCTTGCAGATATAGTGCACTCAAATGCCATACACTATATAGGGATTAGTGAATGAGTGAACGAGTGAGCGGTTTCAGACACAGCTAAAGTAGAATTTTGAGTAAGCAAGGAGTATAGACGAACTATAAAAAATATAATAGTATAATATTATTTTTTATATACAATATTATTTTAATAGTATAGTTTATTTATAAAAAAATATAGGCTTTGACTTCTTGTCAATAAAGGTTTTTTGCTGTAAGCACGTCCTGTGGTTCCAGTCGGGTCCGTCACTTATTTGGTTCCCCGGAAACATTTCCGTTGTGGACCGTGTTATTTGCAGCGCGTTTCTGTATTTGGTGGTGTTGTGAACGTTTGCAGCGCGTTTCTGTATTTGGTTGTGTTGTGAGTATTTGGAGCACACGTGTGTTGTGGAACTGATGAAGATGTTTTTCTTAATTTGCTTAATTTGCTCGCGTTTTTATAGTTGCACACGTTTTTTTCTATTTGCATTCGTCTTCATCAGGTTGCAGCGCGGTGAACTCTCTCGGCCACCGTAGTTTTATATTTTAATCTATTTTAAAATGTAATTTATTTCTGTGATCAAAGCTGAATGCTCAGCATTACTTAAGTCTTCAGTGTCACGTGATCCTTCAGAAATCACTCTATGATGATCAAGACACATTGATGACTATGTTGGAGAATTGTGTTTATATGGCCAATTTTACGTTTTTACTTACTAATTAAGGGAGAGTTCATGGACTGAATAGGAATAACTAATAAATGCTTTGTTGTGTGTGTGTGATCCTCCTGAATGATGGTTCCAACTTTCCTCGCACATTATTTGGATACAGAAATGGACTTCATCCAAGCCGTTGACAGGGAACGTGAGTCAGAAACACACGGCCACTCCTCGTGTGATTCATTATTTGTGTATTACGGAGAGGATGTGTGAGAGTGTGTGTTTCTGCAGGACAGTGTGAGCCGACGTGCTACACAATCTGTGTGATAGAGTGGCTAAAGATCTGGGGCTCGTTCTTCGTACCTCGCTAACTCAGTTAGCTGGATTTGATTGTTGTCGATTTGGCATGATCTTGGATCGTTTGGTTCTTCGACGCTCATCCTGGACTTGCTGTCATAGCAACAGGTCCGTCAGCTTGAACCTGCTCGCGAGCAGGCTTATTTCATGTAAACAGGATTAGATCGCGGCTGATACGGGAAGTCCTTTAGCGCAGCACGATAGTGTAGCCTAATTTCTGAGATTATTTTTTTTTCTCGTGAAACGATCGTCGTGAGGGTGTCGTTTATACTTTATTTTGTGGGAAATGCACATTAATGTTCGATTCGATGAGAAATGCATTTTTCCATTATACAGGTGATAACAACAGGATCCTGCATGGAGACAGGTGTTTTATGACCCCATTCCCTGACCCAAACCCCAGACCAGTCATATTACACAACATTGCCAACATCAGAAACATAGAAAAAAAAATTAATTAAGCCTAAAATAAAAGACAAGACAAATTTGCAAAACTCTATTTGCTTAGAGTTTTATTTCAATAGTTCTTTGTAAAGAAAAGCCAGTTATTCAGTCATATTTTAAGGTCAAGAGATATTAAGAGATATTAAGGTCAGCAATAGTACTCTGTGTGAAATAGTGTATTTAAGTCTGAAGTTTATTTTGAAGCAACTCTATTTCTAGTGCAACTTAGTCAAGTTATTTCTCCCCCTGATTTTTATTTTTTCAAAATATTCTATTTTCTGTTGAAGACTCAAATGGGGAACGAATTTCACCCTGTGTCGTTTGTGTCACACATGCCTAATGCAACAAATAAAAAGGAAAAGTTGTCTACACTGCCCACCCCTGTATCACTGCTGTGTGCAGACTCTTCTGTAGGCCTTTCTGTACATGTGGACTCCTGTCAGAAATAATAGGCATAGGCACAAGTAGAAATCAATTAAAGCCATCAATTCAATTAAAGTACTTCCTCAAAAGGACAGTCATCTGAAGTTTTCTTCACTCTCAAGTGCAATGTGATTGATAACTCATGGCAAAATATTTTTACATTAACATAAGTTTATCAGTTTTTACTTTCACAAGACAAAGCAATTTATCATTACTCAAGATTTAACAGTTGAAATGACTAAACCAGCCAATTTGCATTATGGGTCTACTTCATTTAATGCAGCAGCAAATTATTTCACAGTGTACAAAGATAATTTAAATCTCATTTCCCAGTGATGTAGGTGTTGCTGCTACTGGTCCCTGATGTGGGTCTGGAAGAGCTGAACCCAGGGATGCCCTTCACAACAGGGCAATTCACATCCAACCCAAGGGTCAGCTCTTCTGCCAGGGTCAGGAGCATCATTATTAGTTTTTTTCTCAGCCTTTTTCCTGTTTGCTTTTATAAACAGACAATCATTTATTTAACAGTGCCTTTTTAAAAGAGACTAGTAGGCCTATAAGGCCTAGTAAAATTACCATTAGGCCTAAGTAGAATATTTTTGTACTTCACTTTCACCATGTCCATTATTATAGTGTGGTGACTCGACATTACAATGAACAAAGTAATTATGAAATTATGAAAATAAAAATAAAATAATAATAATAATAATAAGTTATTAAAACATCTAACATGGCCACCACAAACGCATTTAATTTGTCTTCTACTTTTGCCAGCACTCTCTCCTGGCTTTTGCACACTTTGAGGTGTTCCTGGCGTTTTAATTAAAGACTGAAATTCGGCATAACCTTGCATTAAAAGCGCTTGCTCTGCTTGGGAGAAAAACTGGGCGTTTTCTTTGGCCACGCTGAACAGCCAATAGCAGCGTTGCTGATCACTGGTTCTGCTATCGATACATGTCCCCTTTTAAACCAACGCGAGAACGCGCAGTTATCTCAGATAACTCAATCCAGCGATACTAATCATAAACAACAGGTGTGTTCGAAGAACCCAATTAGCCGGATCATGATTAGCACGATGATATCATCTTGGATGTCTCATTTGATCTCGGATGTTTTAAGCAACGTACGAAGAACGAGCCCCTGGATTGGTAATTAAAGATGTTTACAAGCGTCGAGCCTGAACTGAGTAAGAATCTTAACCTCAGGAAGAGGTCTGACCTCTGCTGTAAGTCGCTTTGGATTAAAGC